GAAGAAGAAAGAAAAAAAACACCCCCAAAATGTACAGTTTATGTCGGCCCCACAGGCTCGGGCTAGCCAAAACAAATCATAAAATGAATACCCAAATCTGTGCCCAAAAGGATAGAAACAAAAAGGAGGGAAAAAAAGGTGCCTGTTTGAATAGAAGTGTATCGGTTCGGAGTGTGTTTTGCACTCTTGCGCGCACAGGAGTGTACTCCTTCCTACCGCACTTTTGCCTTGTGCTGCCGTGACGTGGTCTGCCCTGCCGTGCCATGCTCGGTCCTGTCTGCCTACTTGTCGGTGTATTACTCGTGCTCTAATGTTGGACAACGGATGGATATCAGGTGAAGGGGGAGCGCAGAAGTAGTAGTGGTAGTAGTGGTAGTAGTGGTAGGAGTGGTAGGAGTGGTAGGAGTGGTATCCGGAACGCCGCACTCCACGCGCAACATCACATCAAGACGTTGGCTGTGTTGACGAGTGATCGCGCGTGATTGACCCCAACCACCGCACATTAGTGATGGGTGGGAATGGGTGGAGGGGTCCATTATTATTGGAAGTGTTGGATGTTTGTTGGTAATTATGGTATCATCACCTACGCCCTCCCCCCCCCTACCCTTATGTGGGATTTCCACCTATACGGTGAAGGGGAGGTGAGTATGATGGGTAAGTCGGTAGCGAGCGACCATTTTTTGTTGGAAATTTATGTTAAAGTTATTGGAGGAGGAGGAGTGCGTTACGGTACGATCAAGTGATCCGATTTTCCCTTCCCTTCCCTTCCCTTCCCATCCCGCGCACGACCAGCGTCGGACCCCCCTCACTCGCTCTCTCTCTCCCCTCCGTTATCTCCGTACCAACTTTCCCGAGCATTGCACAGTTAGTATCATACATAAATAATATGAACATGCGGATCTCGACTACTGGTTCCCACATGAATATCGATATTTCGATACATGGTGGGAGGAAGGGGCGAACCCGGTTCCTGGAAAATTGAACCTTACCGCTGGTTCCCGGGGGTTGGTGTCTGTTTTGTGTCTCCTTGCTTGCTCGAGGATTGGTTGGTCGTCATGGTGCCTCACTCGATTGCTGAGAGCGTTTCCGGGAACTGGGGAAGAGCGATCGGGATTGGTTTGGTTTGGTTGGAAGTGCGAATGGATGGCGTCGGCTGGTTAGAGTCCCCGGGTGGAGGTAGCCCGGAGGTAAGGGGTTAGTGAGGGTGCCTGATCTGGTCTGGTCTGGTCTGCTCTGCTCTGGTCATGAGGTTCGGGGGTTTGTCCACTGGTTTTTAAGTCGGGGGTAGGCGGGCGGGCGGGCTGTCTGGTTGGGATTGTGGGTATTTGTGTGTGTAAGGNGGGACTGGGTTGAAAATGCGGTGGGATAAATGGGAAAAGTCCAATTGGGTTTTGGTGGTGGATAGGTCCCATGTCCCAGCGCCGCGTCCCCCGAATCAATGCCCCCAGCAACTCGTTCTATCCGGGAGAGAAGCTTCGAAGGCCAAACGCAGTCTGTATCGGTGGTGCCTTCTCTCCCAACAGGCGACTGGTTCCGTGTCCCTCTTTTGGTGCATTTTCTGTGGACACCTTCCTTCCACTCGTGTCGAGTGCCTCGTCCGCTCTTCCTTGCCTCCCCTCGACCGTTTTGTCTTTGACCATTTGATATCGTACACAAAAGCTCGAGAGAGGGAGAGAGGGGAGAAAAGAAGGAAGGAAGGAAGGAAGGAAGGGAAAAAGGAAAAGAGAAAAGAAAAATGTGTAGCCTCATTGCCTACAGTAGATTACCGCACGCTACGAGTACAGTACAGTTCAGCCAGCTACCGGCACTGTAACAGTACCCTATGTACAGCACAAGTACAGTACTCGTGCTGTGCTCGTACATACACTTGACCTTTTACTGCCTCACCGGAACGAACGTTCTCGCGCACACCTCATCACATAGGTCTCATCCACCCACCAACCCATCCATACATTTCCATGTCCTCGTTTCTGTGTGTGCTTCAACTTGTTCTTCCACCATCATCACCATCACCATCGCAGCGGGCACATCTGTATGTACGAGTAGAATATCATTGTTGACTCCCCCACCCACCATCATCTCCCACGAACCCATGTGCCGTATCCTGACACATCCCATCGTCTCTATTCACTGCTTCTGCCTCTCCGCCACTGTTCTGTTCACGGTTACCTTAACCTGGAGCTGCCCACTGGATCCTTCTGCTGTGTCAACCGTCTTCCCTACACAAAGCATACCCTTGTCAATACTTTGTGGGCGTACAGTGCGGTATCATACTCTCTTCTGCTATACGAGTACCACCGCTCCGGACCAATAAGTGCTTCAATCCAACCTGGCCAATTATTTCATCCTCTGCCGTCCGTCAAGCTCTCCTCAACAGGACGGAGTGCCTCCTGGTGCCTCTAGTCTACAACCGCAAACCATAATCACGACCACAGCTGCCCACCCATCACCACCACCACCACCACCACCATCATCACCACCACAAACCGCCTGCATACGTTAATCCTCATACTACCCATAATATTATCATACCCTCTTTACTTTTTTTTTTTCCCTCTCTCCTGCCTTCGATATACATACATTTTTGTCTCTCAACAATTCCAGTCATCTTCGCACCTTTACAAACCCCGCTTCGCGCAACCTCGGGTTCGCCATCTCTCCCCCTCGACATCAATCGTGAATCATCTTTCCAAGGCACTGTTGGTTGGGGGAAATATATATATACACTCTTCTCGAGGCTACGGTACTTCGATCAACTTGTAAACAAACAGTCATCATCATCATCATCATCATCCAACCCTTTAACCAACAACTCATCAGATCGTTATATCTGGCGAACAACTTCCTGCCATTCCCCCCAGATTTCGTCTATCTTAAACACGGACCTTTGTTCAATCATCGTTTCCCTACTTCTCCAATCCACCGTGAACTCTTTGTTTGGCTTCACTGCCACGCGACCGAAGAGAGCCGAAAAAGGTAACCTTGTTCTACTCGAATCGTGCCACGCAAGTCCTGCAGGAAGAGAAGGAAAAGCAATCCAACGGGACAAACTTGTCAGGACAATCAAATCAATTGGCGCCCCTCCGCCGTTCCGCCCACACNGGGAGAGGATGGTGGTTTCGGACTGGGGATAAGTTTGGGGGTTTCTTTTATTTATTTATATATCAAAATCGGTGTCTTTTGTTAATCCGTGATGACCGGGAGAGAATTCCCGTGAGAATTGGGGCTAATAATATGATAATATTATGATGGTATAAGTTGGCGGATGGATAAGCTTTTAGGGCTAGCGTTCTATTCGCATGACTATTTTGGAGCCTTTTCGTCATAGGGCGGGTTGGCCTGGAGTGCTGCGGGTATGATACATCTAGGGATAAGTTATCTTATCTGATGGGACTTCATTGTGAATTCGCGTGAAGGGTCGGGTCCGTAAGTGTTCATAAAGTATCACTCGAGGCTGATTCGGATTGCTCTTACCTACCGGCTGATATCCGCAGCAGCAGGGCGGCGTTATGTCTCATCGTAGTCGAAGACTAGCGGTATCCTATCGGTAGCTATGCAGACTATCAATCCATCATATCGGATCAAAGCATTGGTCTGGAGATCGGGGGTGAAAGAAAAAAAAGTTACAGGACGTGCATGGAAATCCCTTATCCTTCGCGATCAATAGGCTCAAGTTGGCTGCACAGCTGCAACGGCCGCTCGTTGGGAGAGTTCACGAGATAGGACCTGATAATCCGGGCGCTATTGGTATATGCGGACGAATGGGATGTGTCGGAGGGAATGTAGCGCTTTCCGGTGTTTCCGGTGTCCGAATGGGGGGGAGCGTGATGCCGGTCTTTCCCGCGATAGCTGCCCACTAGTGGCCAAACGTGCTGTGGTCTCCCATGAATCTGTGGTACCGTGGGGTTTCGTCCCTGGCGATGTGTTTCTGGATTACCCCCCCCCCCCCTTCAACTAGCTGGGGTGGAAGGGGCCCGGTGATATCTTCTGATCGAGCGTCGGTGCTTGCGGTTCCGCTTGGAATGTTTCTTCCCGGCCTGGGTGTTCCCGTGTAACTTGTATGTTTCGGGTGATTTACGGTAGTTTGTTACATTGTATCACTAGCGCGGTGTGAAGTCTGCAGATTGAATTGGTATGGTGTTGGTGGGAGGTCGAGTTGGTTAGGGAGTGACTTCGCCAGGCAGCTTCCGTCCGTTATTACCATCGACAAAAATAAGGCTCCTTGGCAGGCTAAACCGGTTGTTCCTCCTCCTCCTACATTATGGTAGGCGTGCCATTGGTGGTATTGTATTGTATCATGGATGACCCATTTTGCTTCCGAAATGGAGTGAAGCCATCATACTCGAGTACTGTTTTTGGGGTATTCGTAGCGGAGCGAGAGAGAGAGAGAGAGAGCCCCGAATAGTGCCGGCACAGTAGCAAACGTTGCAATCTTGACTAACTTAATGTTCAACTTGTCGAGCGGGTGCTGCTCGGACCTGCATAACTTATGGCTTTCTCTACTCGAGTATGCTGTGGGATACGTTGGTCCGCGGGTGATTTCATACCGTTGGCGGGGTTTTGTCTGGAATCTACCGGGAATGGACGCTTTCTGCCGGCGTTGCGAGATTCTCACACTGCGAGTGCCCGCATAGAAGAAAAGCACCGCAAACAGATCTCAACCAATCGGACCGCAAATACTCGCCAACTCCAGCGGTTCGAGAACCTCGCGACACCGGAACTAGCTGGAACCCAGGTTTCATCCAGTGCGCTCCTTCTCGGAGCCCTGTGATTGCACCTCCATCGCTCCAATCGCCCCCCCCCNGGAGGCGGGCATGCATACAATGGACAAGACGCGGTTCCGGGCGAGTGGGAATTTATTGGCAGTAGTAGCGGTAGTAGTAAGGCGATAGACTATAGTTGCCCGGATATATGATACATGCCGTAGTATACAATGTCCCCCATGCCAAAATAAAAAAGGTGGGAAAAACACCATAGGGAGGGGGAAGACAAAAGACAAAAGCCCCACGCGGGGGTCGAACCCGCAACCTTGAGATAAACCGCCATGTATCATACATAAGAGTCTCACGCTCTACCGATTGAGCTAGCGAGGCCTTCACGGAGCTTTTTCTCTTCCCTTTCACATAAGCTCTTCCTTCCCCGGACGTAGTCACCAGCAGCTCACCAATCGGTTCGTCAGTCCCTGCCTACCTACCCACCCACCTACACATACCCACCCGGTTAACGGAGTTTCTCATCCACCCACACAACTCCGCAGGCAGCCACGTCATCAATATATCTGAATCGCTCCACCGTTCAAATGGTCTACGATACCGGTGGGTCCGCTACCGAGTGCTGCTCCGTGCGTGAAATATAATCTGTTCAGGGGATCATTTCGTTCCTACTCATGCTTTCACGCTTTATATTTTCTCACGTCTATCTTGGTCTGGATCGTGCTTTATCCTTTGGTGGTTCATCCTATCGTATCGGATATTGTTAAATCGAACGAAGACTGAAAAAAAAAACAGGAAATGGGGAGCGGAATGGAGGAGGCGAAACTGAAGGAAAGTAGGCAGGTAAAAAGGGAAAGGATATATATTCATTCTGAAATCACCGTCCCCGCTCCCTTACAGTTTCCCCAACATGTGGTAATGGTAATGGTATAGTATGATATGATAGATATGATGTGGAGATAGCAACCCAGGCCAAAATATGTATGTATAGAAAGCAAGAACCCCATGGTGTTGGAGAGGGGAGGAGTGGAATAAAAAATGGAATGTACAAATGGGGATGACCCCCCCTCACTTCCTTTGCTTCCCTCCCTTGCTACCCCCTATTACCATTCTTTCATCCTCCTCCCTGATTCTCCCCCCCACAAACCTCCCGCACACATGACGTTCAACAGAGTAGCACCCAGACCAAATAACAACGCAAACCCCTCCTCTATGAAAAAAATACTACCTTCGTAAACGCCTGTAAGGAAATGAGGAAATGATGATAGGGATAAGAAAAAGAAAAAAAGAGAGAGAAACAGGTAGATTGATGGGGTGGTTGATATGAGGGAATGTGAAGAAATGGCTGGGTGGGAAGTGTGATATCTCTTTCCCTTTTCCTTTCACCGCTGGAGTGGGCGGGCGAAGCGGGATCCCCATCCCTACGGGCTTGGCTATTAAAATTTATCGAGGTAGGAAGGAGGAAAGGGGAGGAAGGGAAACGGGTCGACGGATGGATATTCGGCTGGATTGCGGTTTAATGCACAATCAGAAGGGGAGGAGGGGAGAGAAAAATATCGGTAAATGCTTCGGGACAGAAAATTCCGCCAAACCGTTAACTCCGAAAAATTAAAGCTTAAAAATGAAGGGGAAAGGAAAGGAAAAATGAAAAGAAAAATGTTTTATAAGAGGAGATAGGTATAAAGCAAAGAAGATGGGAAAAAGCGAGCCCCCCTCATCGCGTGTCGTGATACCAGGGTTGAAAGCACGAAATGAGACGATTTCCGAAAGAAAGAAAAAAGGAAAAGGAAAAGGAAAGGAAAGGAAAAGAAAGGAAAGAAAGAAAGCAAAAAGGAATAGCAGGGAAAAAGAAACTAGAGAAATGGCATGAAGCAAAACATAAAACGCCGAAAGAGATATATAATATATATGTGAAAAAATCCGCTCGATAATAATCGAGATGCTGTTCATTCGTAGAAGTGTCGTGTATGTCGTTGAAAAATTGCATTATTCCCTCCCATCCCGCCCCCATCTCGACTCCATCCCAGGAGGACCAGTTACCGCTAAACCCGCAAAGCAACGCAAGCGCCATCGCTATCATCATCACCACCACAACTAACCCAGCCAAGGAAACGAAATCGAAAATCATAAAAGTCACCAAAATAGAAAAGCTTTTCCCAACCAGGCTCAACCGCGTCTATCGCTTGCTCCAAAAGTACGCCATAGCCGCAGCGGCCGTGTTGATGATGTCAGCGTGCATCAATGTGCAGTTTCGCACGCAGTCAGCATGGCTGGAACTCTTTTCGGAAATCCTTCAACACACCAACCATTCTCCGGGTCCCATTCCCCGTTCCGGCATGTGCGGCCATTAATGACGAATGAAAAAAAAGACATGAAAACCCATGAAGAACGAGGAGGCGAGACAGGTAAGAAAAAAAGCAACAATTCTTAAGGAAAACAAAAAATGGGAGAGAAACTTTATCCATGATTTTTTATTATTATTTTTCTTTACTCCGAACCCTCCTCTGAAATAGCCATCGCAACGCCAGGCCCCATACTGCCATGATGACTGCTAGTAGTTGGTGGCATCTCATCTTTCATGCAAGCGTTCTCCAGGACGTTTGTCCATTTCCCGCTGGTCCCACTGTGACTGTGTTTTAGATGCTGCCTAAAGTGATCCGCCCTGTAGAACTTCTTGGACTGGTTGCATTCTCCAAACTTGTGCTCCCCAGTGAGATGCTCGATTCGCTGATCCCATTGCGGTGGCATTGGAAACTCTTTCCCACAATAGCCGCATATTTCACAAGTAGACGGATGTTGAGGGGAAGCGTGGAAAGCTGCCGGGTAATTGCTTGAGAGTGCTGCACAAGACCATGAGTGTTTCCGCAGATGGAGTGAATTCTGGTGCCTCTCTGCTTCGTTTTTATTCTTAAACCGATTACTGCAATATTGACAGCCGTACTGCTTCTCCATTTCATGCAATCTACACATTGGTTAGAACACACTAGGGTCCAAATTTCGGAAATAGGACGCACTGCAAATCCATCTGGGTCTCGAATTTTTTCGGCTTTTTAGGGCAGCATTCGCACATGTATACACCCATTTTCGGGGCCGAGTGGTGCTTTGAAGCAATACCCTCTCTCTCTCTGCCGTCAAGCGCCGAGGACGCCTCCGGGATTTGTCTGTGTCTACCACTAGGCCTCTTTGCACTCGCTGAGGGCGGCGGTTGCCGAAATGGTGGGTCACCAACAATCTCCACCTCTAATGGTGGGGAAAAGGAGGAGGCTGGCGAGACACCCCCAGTCGTAGTAAAGCTGCTTGCAGCGGAAAACTGGCCAAGGGATGTAGACCACGTCGTCACAGATGATACTGAAGCAGACGCAAGTGATCCTGATGCTGATCTGGGAATTGGTGAATTACTAAAGTGCTGATATTTCGGCGAGTTCCTTAGGCCCTGATGTATCGGCGATGTTCTCCGACTATGATCGTAAATATCGCTGCTCCCATAACCCTCCAAGTGTAGGCCTTTTCTAGTAGGCTCCAAGCTTCCAATTTGCCTATCCTCATTTGGGGGCGATGAAGCCCGCCTCTTCGAACCAGCTCTCTGATGGCGATGGTTAGTAGGATAAGAATTTGACTTTGGTGGTGTCCTTGCTCCAAGTGTGAGCCGCTTCATCTGGGAGACATGAGAAGGCGCATCGTCCATTTGCGAATCAGTGTCTTCCTGATATAAATCGCAACTGCTTGATGGAGCATCATCATAGCCAGGAGCAAGTATAGAAGCACTCCTCGATCGACGCATCCGTAAATCTGCATTTGAATAACTCTCATTATCTGTCACAAATGATGATACACTTGCATTGTCACCAGAGTTGCGACTATCCAAAAATGATGGAAACACGGGAGGATGCTGTTCCGGTGCCATTCCCAACCCCGAATTATCGCCGACTGAGGGAGTATGCTGCCACCTCTGGAATGGGGCATCGAGCGAGCCAGGTCCCGGAATCGGTATAGGGTTCGAAATTGAGCCACCCCGTGGCTGACTCTTTGGAATATCCCAGCGCTTTGCCAGCGGTAGCGGCAAATCGTCACTTGCGGAGCCAACAGTCACTGGCCGAGAATCGAGGGGGGGCGTAAACCGCTGCCTCGGTAATGGCGAAGGAGCCGATCTCGCACTATCGTTAAGTTTCCCAATAAGGCCTTTGTCAAATGCTCGAACAGATCTCTGCATGGCGACACGCATAGAATCTTCACCTTGAAGTCTGCTATATTTAATACGCAGAGCGTCATTGCACAAGTCAACAATTTTGTCCCAAACATTCCCAAACAGTCCAGGACGACAGAAATGATAAATGACCAGTTGGTGGCAAAATTTCGGGGTTTATGCGGAAAGGGATATCGGATGTCAATTTTTAAGGTATGGGCCAAAGATGTTACAAACAAAATTGATTTCAGTAATGCGGGTCTACTCAACTCCTTGTTCAATTGACTTGGAGGCTTCTGCCTCCCACGGAAATCATCCGGCCAGGATTGGCTAGGCTCTCTTTTAATATTCAGCTCTTCAACGCTTCCAGGTGAAGTATGCCGTGGGCCCCGGGATTTTCTCCCAGAACTCCCCCAGCCTCGCGGAGATGAAATCGGGTGACTCAAGGGTTGTCGGTATATTGCATCGCCAAGCCAGCGGCGTGACATACTTCCGTCTCCATCGTCGCTGTCCTTCCAACTCGCCTGCGGTTCCTCGAAACAGTTCAGAGGCCTAGAGGGGAGTAAAGAAAGTAATGGTGGAGGAGGAGGGGGCTGGTCATGAAAAGAGCTGGCGCGGCTTGACGTCGGAGAAAAGTTTCTAGGTGCAGGAATGGCGAGTGGCCTAGATCTATAGCTTTCACTGCTCATATCCATGTTGTGGATGTGGTGATCATGTACTCTGATAGACGGGAGGTTTGTAGTTGCTGTTGCTGTTGTTGTTATTCGGTGGAGTGTCATCACGAAAGACGACTGGCGAGCAAAATAAACTCGATCCGAAACCAAGCGACGGGACACTAGTTCTATATATTATTGATGATTAGATTTCAATGGGGCAAATTTTTAGGGTCAGGCCTACACGAACCCGCCCAATTGAGTACCCGAAGCAGTACGCTACCTCAGCAATATATATATATTGGGGAAACGATGATCTCTTGAGGAGTCTCGCAGGTCTAAGAAGTAAAGCGTTAAATCTTGAACAACCTGTGGGCGTGCGCTCGTCTGAAGGCGATTTCCGCACCGTCAGCTATCCGCAACAGCTTCAGCTGAAAAGCGAGCGAGAAGCGGCGGGGTTAACCAACTAGGAAATCAAATACCCGAGCAAGTGCTAAACTTGCTATTTCATTTCAAGCCCTATCTGCCCCCGCCTTCCGTCGTGA